TAATGGTCTATTGCCATGCTAGTCAAAGTGTGGGTGGTGAATCAGCAGCAGCAGCATTACTTAGAAATTTGTGAGGTATGCGTAATCTTCATCCCACCACCACAAACCTGTTGTTTGTTTGTTGTATTCCATCAAGTCTGTTCTGACTCATCTTGACCCTTTATGACTGAGTAGAATTGCCCCTTAGGGTTTCCTAGGCTGTAATCTTTACAGGAGCAGATCACCAGGCCTTTTCTCCCACGAAGTGGCTGGTGAGTTCAAACCAACAATCTTTCAGTTAGCAGCTGAGCGCTTAACCATTGTGCCACTGGAGCTCGTAGCCTACCGAATCAGAATCTTCATTTTAGCAGCATCCTCAAGTGATTCATATGAGCATAAAAGTTTGAGAACACCACCAGTATAGTAGATGCATGGATACCATAAAGATGACCTTGTCAATTTTTAGGGAAGACAGAAGGTGGTTCTGAGCTTTACTGACCCCAGATACTACATTTGTAGGGAATGTTTTCAAAGATCCATAGAATGTTAAAATCGGCAGAAATATTAGACAGCATCTAATCTAGTCTCATCTATGAGGAAGACCAGTTAATACGACTATTACTCAAATTTGCTGACCAAACACTAATGCCAAAGATGAAGAAACTGAAGATTTTTATCAGCTTTTGAAGTCTGAAATTGATCAGATATGCAATCAAGATGCATTGCTAATTACTGGTGATTGCAACGTGAATGTTGGAAACGAAAGAGGATTAGTAGTTGGAAAATAAGGCCTTGGTAATAGAAACGACACAGAAAATTGCATGATAGAATTTTGCAAGACCAACGACCTATTTATAGGAAATATTGTTTTTCAGCAACATAAATGGCAACTATACACGTGACCATTGCCAGATGGAAAACACAGGAATCAAACCAGCTACATCTGTGGAAAGACACAATGGAAAAACTCAATATCATCAGTCAGAACAAGGCCAGGGACTGACTGCATAGCAGACCATCAGTTGCTCATATGCAAGTTCAAATTGAAGCTAAAGAAAATTAAAACAAGTTCACAAGAGCCAAAGTAAGACCTTGAATATATCCCAACTGAATCTGAACACCATATCAAGAATAAATTTGACACATTGAACACTAATGATTGAAGACCAGATGAGTTGTGGGATGACTTTAAGGAATCATCCAGAAAGAGAGCAAAAGGTCGTGAAAAAGACAGGAAAGAAAGAAAAGACCAAAATGAATGTCAGAAGAGACTCTGAATCTTATTCTTGAACATACAGTAGCTAAAGTAAATGGAAGAAACGATGAAGTAAAAGAGCTAAACAAAAGATTTCAAAGAATGGCTTGAGAAGACAGAGTAAAATATTATAATGACATGTGTAAAGACCTGAAGTTAGAAAACCAAAAGAAAAGAACCACTTGGCTTTTTTCAAGCAGAAAGAACTGAAGAAAATATTCAAACTTCGAGTTGCGTTATTAAAGGATTCTATGGGCAAAATATTGAACGACTGAGGAAGCATCAAAAGAAGATGGAAGGAATACACAGTCACTATACAAGAAAGAATTGGTCCGTGTTAAACCGTTTCAAGAGGTGGCATATGATTAAGAACCCGTGGTACTGAAGGAAGAAGTCCAACCTGCACTAAAGGCATCGGTGAAAAACAAGGCTCCAGGAATTGATGGATTACAAATTGGAATGTTTCAAAAAATGGATGCAACACTGGAAGCACTCACTCATCTATGCTAAGAAATTTAGAAGACATCTACCTGGCCATCCGACTGGGAGCGATGCATATTTGTGCCCATTCCAAAGATGATCCAACAGATATTATTGGAAATTATCAAACAATATCAATATCACACACAAGTAAAATTTTGCTGAAGATCATTCAAAATTAGTTGCAGCACGTCTTAGTTATCTAGTGCTTCTATAACAGAAATACCACAAGTGGATGGATTCACCAAAGAGAAATTTACTCTTTCACAGTCTAGTAGGCTAGAAGTCCGAAGTCAAGGTGCCAGCTCCAGGGGAGGACTTTCTCTCTCTGTCTGCTCTGGGGGAAGGTCCTTGTCATCAGTCTTACCCTGGTCTAGAAGCTTCTCAGCACAGGAACCCCAGGTCCAAAGGACACACTGTGATCCTGGCTCTGCTTTCTTGGTGGTCGGTGGTCCCCCTATCGCTCTTCTCTCTTCTCTCTTTTATATCTCAAAAAAGATTGGTTTAAGACACAGTCTAATCTTGTAGATTGAGTCCTGCTTCATTAACATAACTGTCAGTAATCCGACCTCATTAACATCATAGAGGTAAGATTTATAACACAGGAAAATCACATCAGATGACAAAATAGTGGACAATCACACAAAACTGGGAATCATGGACTAGCCAAGTTGACACACATTTTTCAGGGGTACACAGTTCAGTTCATAACACAGCAGTACATCAACAGGGAACTACCAGAAATTCAAGCCAGATTCAGAAGAAGATGGAATGAGGGATACCATTGCTGATCTCAGATTGATCTTGACTGAAAACAGATAATACCAGAAAGATGTTTACCTGTGTTCTATTCACTATGCAGAGGCATTCGACTGTGTGGATCATAGCACGTTATGGATAACATTGTGAAGAATGGGAATTCCAGAACACCTAATTGTACAGAACCTGTACATAGACCAAGAGGCAGTCATTCAGAAAGAACAAGAGGATACTGCATGGTTTAAAATCAGGAAAGGTGTGCATCAGGGTTGTATCCTTTCACCATGCTTATTCAATCTATATGCTGAGCAAATAATCCGAGAAGCTTGACTGTATAAAGAAGATCGTGGCATCAGGATTGGAGGAAGATTCATTAACAACCTGTGATATGCAGATGACACAACTTTGCTTGCTGAAAGTGAAGAGGACTTGAAGCACTTACTTATGAAGATCAAAGACTACAGCCTTCAGTATGGATTACACCTCAACATAAAACAAAAGTCCTCACAACTGGACCAATAAGCAACATCATGATAAATGGAGAAAAGATTGAAGTTGTCAAGGATTTCATTTTATTTGGATCCACAGTCAATGCCCATGGAAGCAGCAGTCAAGAAATCAAACAATGTATTACATTGGGCAGATATGCTGCAAAAGACCTCTTTAAAGTGTTAAAAAAACAAAGATGTCACTTTGAGGGCTAAGGTGCTCCTGACCCAAGCCATGGTATTTTCTATCGCCTCATATGCATACGAAAGCTAGACAATGAATAAGGAAGACCAAAGAAGAATCGACGCCTTCGAATTATGGTGTTGGCAAAGAATAGTGAATATACCATGGACTGCCAGAATAATAAACAAGTCTGTCTTGGAAGAAGTACAGCCAAAATGCTCCTTAGAAGCGAAGATGGCGATACTTCATCTCACTTACTTTGAACATGGTATCAGGAGGGACCAGTCCCTGGAGAAGGACATCATGCTTGGTAAAGTAGAGGGTCAGAGAAAAAAAAGAACACCCTCAAGGAGATGGATTGACACAGTGGCTGCAACCGTGGACTCAAATATAGTGATGATTGTGAGGCTGGTGCAGAGGTGTAGACCAGGTAGTATTTCGTTGTGTTGTACATAGGATCACTATGAGTCGAAACTGGTTGGACTTCACCTAACATTTTCTTTATTTGCTGTTGATTCCTGTATCTTACTCTTTTTATGTGTTAATTT